GCTGTGTAAATTACCTGGCTGCCTGCCAAAAAAACAAAACAAAAACCCAACCTGGCGTGCATGCTTTTCATTCTGTTGCAGGATTTAGTCAGAGGGCAAGTATTTATTGTGTGTGCATTATGCACACATGCTATAATAGGCAGATGGCAGAAAGGAAAGGAAAGCAGCAGAAACGCAAATATTGTGGAAAAACTGAGCGTTTCAGTGCCTGCCAGTTAGTCGTGCTTTCATCGGAGCACCGAGCCCCGTGAGCAGGCAGACAATGCCGCTATTGTGGCAGCAGTGGCTGGGGTCTCCTGGCCTGTGGGGGCCGCAGGCAGCCCTCTGTGCCCTCACTGAGGGTCTCAGGGCTCTCGTTTGCATAAAGGCTGCTGGCTGCGATCCCATCTTTGCTAGGAACAGTTTTGCTTTATTACCTTATGAAGAATCCTCATTGCATCATCAGACTGGGGGTCTTCCAGCAAGGCAACAATGGGGGCGGCAGGCATGACCCAACAGCCTGTGGGGACCAGTTGACAGTCTGCAGACATCTGCCACTCCTGCGATGTCCACTAAAGGCTGAGCATTTCTCGTAGCACATTTGGAGAATGCGGGACATCGAGGAAAGACCCCTGTAAAGCAAGGCCATGAGAAAAAGGACCGAAAAGGCTGAACTTCATCAGGAACATTAAGTGTGGACTGGTTGACTTCACAGCTGGGTGTTTTGTTTTTTTCTGAAAAGGCACTAATTGTGATTCCTCACCCTGTTCTCTCCTTTAGCACTGGCTACTTTTCCTGAGTCCACCCAGCCGCCCCAAACTCCGCCACCGTATTTAGGCCACTATAAACCCCACTCCCCTGACACACTCGCCTTTCCTCCTGTTCCCTAAAAGGTTTCTTGGGAAAGTTCCCTTTACTTCTGGCATCCGTAGGGTAACATCTCACTTCTATCATCGTCAACCAAAAAGTAGACACAGGGGGAAGCCCACTCTTTACGTCTCTCTGTGTCGTTTTCACATGGTAAAACGGCACAGGGAAAATTACCTGTGACGGAAGTTGAGGGCAGAGGAAGAAACTTCCCTCTATCGTCAAGGTTGATTTCCCTGGTCTAATAATCAAACGGACATGAGACTGAGAAAATAATCAAATTTAATTAGACCCATAGGTATGGGAACTTCGCAGACAGGAGAGTAGAGATCCCACGAGAGATTCAGAGCCAGAGAGGGAAACCGAGGTACATAGGACATTCTGAAATAGGGATGAGGGGAGGCACTTCGGGGCACCAGAAGGCAGTTGCAGGGAGAAGTCATGTTCAGTAATTAATAGTTTGCCCTATCATACAGGTGGGTAAAAAGTTATTCCTCGTGATACCTCTTATCATGGGCCACAGTCCTAATTTATTTTTTAAAGATTTTATTTATTTATCTTTAGAGGGGAGGGGAAAGAGAGAGGGAGAGAAACATCAGTGTGTGGTTGCCTCTGTGTGTCCCCTGCTGGGAACTGGCCTGAAACCCAGGCATGTGCCCTGACTGGGAATCAAACCGCAATCCTTTGGTTCTCAGGCCTGTGCTCAATCCACTGAACTATACCAGCCAGGGCCAAAGTCTTTTTTTTTAATATATATATAATTAATTTTATTTAGTTATTTTTCAAGTACAGTTTTTTGTCTATTTTTCCCATCCCAGCCTCCCCCGCCCCTTGCTCCCCACCTCCCTCCCATTTCCACCCCCCTTAGTTCTCGTCCCTGTGTCCTTCCTATTTGTTCCTCCAAATCCCTCCCCCCCTTTTCCCCTTAACTTCCCTTCCTTCTCCCCTCTGGTCACTGTCCCCTTGTTCTCTATTTCAGTGTCTTTGGTTTTTTTTCTGCTTGCTTGTTTGTTTTGTTGTTTAGCTTCCTGTTAAAGGTGAGATCATATGGCATTTGTCTTTTCAGCACCTGGCCTATTTCACTCAGCATAATACTTTCCAGTTCCATCCATGTTGTTGCAAAAGGTAGTAGCTCCTTCTTTCTCTCTGCAGCATAGAATTCCATTGTGTATATGTACCACAATTTTTTGATCCATTCATTTACTGATGGGCACCTAAATTTAAGTCTTTCTAGGTAGTTAGGGGAAGGTGCAGCTTCTCTTGAGCCCGCAGGATCTTGGTTGCCTTTGACTCAAAGTAATCTGCATACCCAAGACACACCTTGGGGTGGCTCATGCTGAATCACTCACTGCCAGGTCCTACGGTGGGGCCGCAGGGCTGCAATCTGGGGAGCTGTAGGTACTAGGTTCCCACCCTGAACTGGAGTCCAGCATTGCTGGTGGGCAACTTGAGGACTGGAATAGAAATTCCGCAGTTAACAAGTAGCAGTCATGAGGTGAGTGGGGCAGCTAGTTTGGGGCAGTGGTCCTTAAAACATACAACTCAGTGTGTCCTTGACTCAGTGTGTCCATGCTGTCCTCTGTCACTCTGACTCCTCTTCTGCAGTGCCTCATTCCGTCTGCCTACGGAGTGGTTCATTCTCTAAGTCACTTATTTCTCCAATCTGAGTATCAAAGACCAATAGCTAAAATACACATGCTAATCGACACATTGCACATGAATAAAATGAAGGATGACAAATAAAGATATAAAACAATATAATAATATTCTTATCCAAATGTAAGAATTTGACACAATTCTCCTCGTGCGTGAGGGATTTGTTGAAGATTTTAAGATCACATAGAAAAAGAATATGTGGAAACCAAGGACACAAGTGAATTTATAGGAGAGTACTATAAAGTTATTTTTTGTGTAAAAATTAAAACAGCACATAATGAATAATAGATCATAGAGACTCACTAGAATGTGAAGCTTCTCAGGGGGCAATGGCCACATCTGCTTTGTTTCGCTGCTATATGTACCCCAAGTACCAAAGAAAATGCCTACCATGTAAATGTTGCAAGTGTTTATTTGTTTTCATGGACAAATTCTGATTTAATCCCAATTCAGTGGTTTGTATTTGAAGTGCTCATAAATTACTTTTATTATGGATTATTGCATTCTTATTTGTTCCTCCATCTAAATGCTTAACTCTTTTGAATTTACTTTTTGGAGTCTCCCACTTTCCTATATCCCACCGGGATCCCAGAGATACAAAGTACCTTGGATATTTGTGGTGGAAGAGATTGAGATCCCCTTTATTTGACCTGCTTCCTTCACTAGAGCTAAACAGCATTTTCAACTGCACCCTCTGTCCCCTCCTTCAGGATTAGATAGTTTAGCTCGGTCTGTGATCATTATGTCCACAATCATGTTTCTACTGCTTTTACATCCATCTCGTTTCTGCTTCTCCATCTCCTTTACGGTGGCCTGCTCTTCTAAATGTTGGTGTACCCTCAGTCGAGGTTCTAGTCCTGCTTCTCCTTTTCCACTGTTCTGTCGCTCTGAGTGATCTCATGCATTCCCAGGGCTTTAAATACCAAATACGTGCTCCTGAGTCCCAGACACATATCTCCAGCTTTGACCCACTCTCTGCTCCAAAGCTGTATGCTCGGTGCTCTGCTCAGTGGGTAAAACAAGCAGAACATTTTTGTAAGTCTAAAATGGAACTTCTGATTTCCAGTGCTCCTCTCACCCCCATTCATAGGCGGTCCTCTTCCTGATCTCCCAGTATCTCACCCAACCAACTACTCCAACCATGGAGAAACCTTGGGTTCTGACCCATTGCTGTGTCCTCCAACTTCAGTTCACCAGCTAGTGTAGTTATTCTTTCTACCTCCAAATTAACTCTGGAATCTACATGCCTTCAGTTCCACTCCACGCCCCAGTCTAAGCTAGCATCATCTCTTGTCAAGACCAAGGCAACACGTTACTCCCTGCTACCCATCTTTGCCCTTGAAGAACTCACCTGCACACAGCAGCAAGACACTCAGAGTGTCATGCTCTCTTACCAGTCGGTGGGCACTGACCCCATTATAGTTGGAATAAAATATAAAGTTGTCACTGTGTCCTGCCAGGCCTGCACGAGGGACACCTTTGCACTTATGCACCTTCACTGATGCCCCCTCCCACCCACTGCTCTCAGCTCATGCTATGCCCCACACATGAGGTTCTGGCTGCCTGACAGGTTTGAAACATGACCTCAGGCTTTGGAACCTGCTGTTTCCTGTACCTGCAATGTTCTTCCCTCAACTACCTTTAGTTTTATTTCACTTCTGTTTTGACAGGTTTCAAACATAACAAACACCTATGTATCTAACATCAAAAATTAATAACTGTTAACATTTTGCCATATTCTCCAGATTTTAACAGCATGCTCTTAAAATAGAAGTCTCCTTTGAGCTTCTTTCCCCATGTTCTGTCCCCTCTTCCTTACTTGGAGCCCGTGATGGATGGTTGTTTCCCTCCCCTGCATCCATTTCTCCCCTCTTTCTTTCTGATGCAGCCTTGACTTTGTTAAGGCACCTCCTCAAACCACCTCCCGACCCCACACTCTCATGTGCTTCAGCAAAAGCCAACAGTGGCCCAGTTGTGGCCAAGGAGACAAGAAGGAAGGTTCCCTGGAAGCTGTGCTTCCTTTTCCCTGGAGGTACATGGTGGGAAGCTGGTAGGACTTCTTGAGGCTCCTACCCTCTCAATCCTCCCCTATTTGCCTACAGAAAACCAGCTGGGACCAGAGGAGCCAGGCTATCTGAATTTCTGATCCAACGCCAAGGCTGGAGCTGAACAGCGTTCTTGTTTGTTCAGTCTTCATCATCTTTCATCTGCTTATCTTACATAACTGTTGGCTGAAAACATGAAACAACAGCAACACCACAAATAGAAGGAAATGACTTCCTAATGTCTCCACCCTCCTCCCAAAAATGAAAGAAAAGGGACATTTTTCTTTTATAGGTAACCATTGTTTTTATTAGCATCTTATTTTACTGTACTTATGTGTGTGTTTATACTCAGTGCCATGAAAAACTTACACAAGGTCAAATCTCGGTTCACACATAAAATGTTTAAAATAACAATTCAGAACTGACCCCCCTGTTTCTCCTCTCTGCTTGTAGGTTGCGGCATGTTTACTCTCCTGTCATCTGTCACGGCTGCTGTCAGTGGCCTCCTGGTGGGCTATGAACTTGGGATCATCTCCGGGGCTCTTCTTCAGATAAGAACCTTATTAGCCCTGACCTGCCATGAGCAGGAGATGGTCGTGAGCTCCCTTCTCATTGGGGCCTTGCTTGCCTCTCTCCTGGGAGGGGTTTTAATTGACAGGCATGGAAGAAGGGCTGCCATCATCTTGTCATCCTGCCTGCTTGGACTCGGAAGCCTAGTCTTGATATTCAGTTTATCTTACACGATTCTTATAGTGGGGCGCATTGCTATAGGGGTTTCCATTTCACTCTCGTCAATTGCCACTTGTGTTTATATCGCTGAGATTGCCCCGCAACACAGAAGGGGTCTTCTTGTGTCACTGAATGAGTTGATGATCGTCACTGGCATCCTTTTTGCCTACATTTCAAATTATGCATTTGCCAGTGTTTCTCATGGCTGGAAGTACATGTTTGGCCTTGTCATTCCCTTGGGAGTCTTGCAAGCAATTGGAATGTACTTTCTTCCTCCAAGTCCCCGGTTCCTGGTGATGAAAGGACAGGAGGAAGCTGCTGGCAAGGTTCTGGGAAGGTTGAGAGCCATCTCAGATACCACAGAGGAACTCACTCTAATAAAATCTTCCCTGAAAGATGAATATCAGTATAGCTTTTGGGATCTGTTTCGTTCCAAGGACAACATGAGGACCCGAATAATGATAGGTATAACACTGGTATTTTTTGTACAAATCACTGGCCAGCCAAACATATTATTCTATGCATCAACTGTTTTGAAGTCTGTTGGCTTCCAAAGCAATGAGGCAGCTAGCCTCGCCTCCACAGGCATTGGGGTTGTCAAGGTCATCAGCACCATCCCGGCCACAGTGCTAGTAGACCACGTCGGGGGTAAAACCTTCCTCTGCGTTGGCACTTCTGTGATGGCAGCCTCATTGATGACCATGGGCATCGTGAATCTCAACACCCACATGAACTTCTCCAATATCTGCAGAAGCCATAGTCTTATCAACCAGTCATTGGATGAGTCTGTGTTTTATGGTTCAAGCAACTTGTCAGCCAGCAATGAAACACTTAGAGAGCCCTTTAAGAAGATCACTTCCCACAGCAGAAGCTTGGTAACGCCCATAAGAAATGACATGGGTAAGAGAGGGGAGATGACCTCGCCATTCTTACCAAGTGCTGGACTAAGCCAGACTGAATCCCAGATCGTCACAGACCCTGCAGAAGTCCCACCTTTTTTGAAATGGCTGTCCTTAGCCAGCTTGCTTGTTTATGTTGCTGCTTTTTCAATTGGTCTAGGAACGAGTAAGTATTTTATTTTTTAGCCCTTCCCTCTCACCCCTTATAAGTGTTAGTGAATTGCTTCTGACCAGTGAGAGTGTCCTGCTGCTATAGTGCTTTGTATGCAGAACTCCTAGACGCATGTCAGGGATAATATTGGCCACCAGATATTTCTACTAGTGGAGAAAGTATGTTTGGCTTATGCTGGCTTTGTGAAATGTGCAGGGCCAGCATTCACCCAAAGGGTAAGTTTGCCATTATGTCACATGGGTGTACTTTAACACTAACTGATTGGAGGTGAACCAGACCTTGAAAGATATTTATTGCCCAGGAGGATATATTGTTTTATGAAAGCAAGCTTACTGGGATAACATTATTTTTTACATCTCTTTCCTGAGTTTCTTCATAGGTGAAAGGAAAAAAAAAATCAAGATTTTCTTAAAGACACAATAGTGGGTATATTCTGGTAATAATGAAGAAGAAGGGGATTATGAGTTAAGAAGGAGGATCCATTATTTCTTTAAGTGTATTTTATCAGCACAGTAACCTCCCAGGGCAATTTCTTCTATTAAGCAGGAGAATGGGATTCACGTTACTCCTATTAAACAGAGTCCAAACAATTTACAGAGAGATAGCTACAAGGGTGTTTTATTTTACGTGGCCAGTCTACTCCAGTAACGGTGTTTAAACCCTTCTCTGAAGCAAACTCTCTAGGGTTTGCTAGAATAACTTGTTTGTTGAAGTTCCCTAATCTTTTTGCCTCAGCCTGAAAGTCTAAACCTCTTTGTGGAGAGGTTGTAAAAGGTCTTTTGTACATCTCCCTAGAAAATGAAGTGCTTAATCTGCATCACCCTCAACTCTCTCTCTCTTTCTCCCACCTACACACACACATAGAGTTGGTATTAAATCTTTGTTAACAAAGATCAAGGACCAAGCAAACTTGCTCAAATACAGGAACAGGTGAGAAGCTGGGAATAATAACAAGACACGGGCTGTGTTGAAAGAAAAGGAATCACATGGTCAAATGTGGGTTTCTGGTGCCAGAAACCGGGTGATGTTTCTGGAAAAAAAGTCATTTTAGGGCAGTGTTAGTGATCTACTGTTAACTCCTTAACTAGTTATTCAAGTAATAACCAAGAACTATGCTAAATGCTGGAGAAACGGTAATAAACAAGACAGATAATGTCCTTGTCTTGAAGGAGATTATACAATCCTGTGTCCACCTCTTTCTGGCCAGCAACCAGCATGTCTGGCCTGCTTAATCTCAGTCCATCAACAACAGGACTTGCACAAGGCTGATATGGCCCCTCTTCCACCTCTAATTCTTCATCTTTCAGTCTACTCCTGCTTCTGACATCGGTTTCTAGATACTGATTCATCAAATGCCAGAGCAAGGGAGGGAATCTGAGCACCTCTGCCACTTGCTGTGCCAAGTTATAGGTCTGAGCAGCAATGGCAAGACCGGGCCACATGGTCCAAAACATCAGTGATCAGAAGCTTGTTCTTCTTCTGGCTCTTTAAATAGAATGACTTCCCCATAAGGGACTGTGCAGGGGCAGATAGAGGAAATGCCTCAGATCTCTGGTCTGTTCCTGAACCCTGACCCTGCTGTTTAAAGACTTACCAATGATAAATGCCATTAATGAACAGTTTCCTGGAAATGGGTTTCTACCATTATTTCAGGATTTAACAATCTTGGATTTGTACTGGTGAGACATTTGTCTTAAGTTATTACTGATTATAACAAATCACCAAATGCTATGTGGTTCAGACAATAAATGCTTATCTCAGTCTGGAAGCTGGGAAGTCCAATACCAAGGGCTGACAGATTCCGATTCCTGGTTTGTCGATGCCACCTTCTTGCTATGTCCTCTTGTGGACAAAGAAAAAGAGAGAGAGAGAAAAGGGGAGGGGGAGGAAAGAGCTATGAGGACACTAACCCCATCATGAGGGCTTAAGTCTGGTGATGCACTGATTACCTCCTCAAATACCCATCTCCAAATGTCCTCAGGATGGGGATTGAGGTTTCAACATGCAGGGGCCACACACATGAAGTCCACACTGTACTTGTATGGTTACTCTGATATAAAAAGCTAATGAAATCTGAGCCAGGGAGTTACACTTTTACTTTCAGAGACTGTTTAAACTCTATAAGAAGGGCAAGATATGAGTGCTACCTTGTACCCAGGAATAACTTGACCTTGTTTGTGAATTTTTCTATACTAATAAGTACAAGAAATATTACTCTTTTGATAAAATTCAGGTCGTGGTTACTGTTTCATTGATTTTCACTTCCAGCATCCGTTTTCCTATATATTCATTACAAAGTGAAAAGTATTTCCTTTTCATATCAATTTTCTTGATCTAATCATTTGAAATATCAAGCATCAACTAAGAATCTAAGAAAAGCTTAACAAAAAGAAAAGAATTTTCTGTTTGTCTTAATGCAGAGAAACTTTCAGGTAGGCAGAGAGCGTGACATAGTGCATATTATAATATGAGAAACATTGATCTGTAACTTCCAGAACCAACTTTATTCATGGTAAGAGTTTTCCTAAGCTCTTGCTACATTTCTCTCGCTAGTTTTTGGGTAACTTTGAAAAACATAGCAAACCAGTAATGACAAAGTCACTAGTGTCACTTGATACGTTATTTTATTAGAGCAAGAGTTCCCTTTCTCAGAAAATGCAACCTAATTTTGAAGAAAAAATTATGGAAGGCCGTTTATTTACCCTTTAGAATTACTTGAATAGTATTCTGCGTGAATCCTTAGAATAAAATGTAAGCTCTAGATTCAGTTAATGTTTATCGTTACCTATTACGGCAAATACTGGGTTAGAAAGTTTTTCCACACTGGGAGGGCTTCCTTTACATTCACAACAAGCCTGTGAAGGAGAGCTATTCACCAAGTTTTACAAACGATGGCGCTGAATCTCAGAGGAGTTAAGTGACTTGCTCGAAAGAATGACAACGTCTCTTGTCCTCTGATTTTCAGTGTTAATCAGCAGACTGAGGGAGGATTGGGCAGTCTCGTGTTGGTCTTGATAGTGAAGGTTAATTCTTTTTAGTTCGGTCTTCTCCTTGAGGATGCTTAGACATAGGAATGAATGAAAATAGTGTATTGTTGTCCATCACATGGGTCTGTTAAATGGCCCAGCCTGCATTTTATTCAAGATAGAGAACGTCTCTCTTCTGAAGCTCTGCTAGGTAAATGTGCGTGTACTTTTTACAAGGCTAAGCTACGGGAAAAAAGAGGATAATGATAAGACTACAGAGGTGTTTGATGTTCATTTACTTGAATAAGCGAACTTGGTTAAAATAATGTTCAAATGTATACATTGGTTAGAATTCAGACTCAGCTATAACAAAGACCAAAACACAGCGGCTTAAGCAAAGAGTTTCCTTCTGTCTCTCACTTTAACAACCAAAACTGGGTCGTTCTGGGTGCTTTGGCAGCTCCCAGAGTCAGGAACCTAAATTCTGTAGATAATGTCCCCGGATCTCATTGTAGCTACTGTTTTGATACTGGTTCTCAGTCTGTTGTGATGGCTATTTAAAAATAGGAATACGTGTTTTAAAATTTCATCACCCCTTTCTGATCGCTAACAGTACCTTGAGAATTAAGTGAACTGCACGAAGTTCAGTCAGTTAAAGCAAGGCTGGCTGTAGAAAGGCCTGGTTAATAAGACACTGTGAGCATTTCTGTCAGGAAAGCAGAACACTGTGAGTGAGACAGGAATTTCCTACAGGAATTAGACCTAAGGCAGTTGTGAGAGATGCTGGGAAAGCAAAGGTTTAGAAGGAACAATTAGAGGGAAAGGAGAAAGATGCCAATCAAGGCCATGAAAGGAAGCTGGTGAAGATATGGGTGGAAGCCTTCAGCAGCCTCTGCATCCGGCTGCAGCCTGGAGGTCAGCAGAGCACCAGGAGGAAAAGCTCGACTCCCAGCAGGGAAGCAGAGACAGCAGACCTTGCTAGGACCAACTGGATCCGAGAGAAGAAAGTGGAGCCCACATCTGTCTTTCAGTGCATCAAGTCCAATGATGCAAGCCGCCTGTAGAAAAACCGGTGTCCTTCTCCAACACAGCCCTGACAGTGTGGTTGGCGCAGTTAGCAGTTGGAGAAGCTGGAGGAGACCTGGCCACACTAGCTGCTGCCCCACACTAGCTGCTGCCCCACACCAGCATGGAGAACCAGCAGGTCACAACCACACATTGGAGCTGCAATGCCCCCTTGGGCCTTGTACTAATCCCACCAAGCAGAAGGCTGAGTACACCTGGGCCTTCCAAGTCTTATGCAAATATCTCTTCCTGCCAACCCTAACCCCAGGACTATACAGGGAAGGGAATCCTGGGGAATGTAGTTCCAGCTTAGCTAAATTAACAGACCACAAAACTGCCAGAGTAAACAAGGAAAGGAATATTTCAGAGGTCAAGGGCTCTACATTCTGTCTTCAATTGCTGTGAGAGACATTTATTTATTTTCATGGAAATGTTAATTATTAAAATACATAGCTAGATTACATTCCATTTATTTCTCAAAAAAGAAGTCATTCAATTAATGTCTCTTGGCTTTTGTTTCTTTAGTTATAAAACAGAAAAAAAAAACCTCTTCTGCCAATGCATCATAGAAGATTTCGTATTTGTTTTTCTTTTCAATTTTTTAAATTTATCTTTAGAGACAGGGGAAGGGAGGGAGAAAGAAATGGAGAGAAACATTGATCAGCGGCCTCTTGCCCTCCCCCAACCGAGGACCCCGCCCATAACCCAGACAAGTGCCGGACCAGGAATCTAAACGGCAACATTTTGGTTCACAGGCTGTTACCCAATCCAATGAGCCACACCAGCCAGGGCTCGTATTCATTTTCTCAGGAACGTTAGTTATCTCCCTTGAGCTGATGTCTCACTTATCTCCAATTCTATCATCTCACATGACCTCTAGTTCCTTTTTCCCAACAAGTACTGAACTTTTCCACTTTGATGCTTCACTGTCAGCCAAACACAAGAAGCCCGATCCTGAATTCT